ATACAATAGCAATGTTTAACAGGCATTTCGATAGATACATGAATAGGCGGGGAGTAGAGGAATACGGATGGTGTAGAGACAAAGGGTTTTTAGTTTAGAAAGGCATCATGTGTCAGTGCAGTCTTGGTGGGCTGAAGAGCCTGTTGCTGTGCTGTACTGTTCTTTGTTCTTATCTTGCAAATGCCACGGTCAGAGGGCATGAAGAGAATTCCCACTTATTCATTTCCAGATTTTTGGGTTTAAATTTTGTTTTATTTTCAAAATGACAATTTTGCTTTAATGATAAAATGGTCCAAGTCAACCACATGATCAAATATCTGGAAGATTCTGAATCCAGTATTGTGGAGATATTCCAGCTAAAGCTGACACAAAGGACTTGGAAACAAGTTGTAAACATTTAAATAAGCTCTGGACAAAGAAAAACATTCAGATCCTTTATGCTAAAGTGGGACATAATGCTTTCCCAATGATCTCATCACCTCATGATGGATGCTCTGAGGAAAGTAAAACTACATGATTATCTTTAACCGACCTTCCAATTGGCCCACTGAGATTGGCCATTAGCACCCAAGATACCTGAAAGACCAACGGAAAATGTTGGAGAAACTCAGCAGCTTTGCAGCATCCATTGAGAGAGACAGACCATATTGTTTTGAGTCTAGTGAGCCTTTGTCAGCACCAAAAGTGATGACGAGGTTTGGGGTTTAGGAGGGACGGAATCAAATTCATGGAAACAATGCCCAGAGGCAGAGAGAGAGAAAAAAAGATAAAGGGATGGCTGATGATAAGCCAGCAGTGAGATAAATGTTGAGTAGCTGCTACCAGGATAAGCTGTACAAAACAGGACCTGGATGTGTGGCTAAGAAACATGGGGGAGAGTATTCATACTCTGAATTTGTTAAATTTAATGCTGAGTCCTGATGGCTGTAAGGTACCTCGGTGGAAGATATGGGGGGTGTTCTTCCAACTTGTATTGAGCTTCATTGAAACACGGGCCTGAGGCAGGAATGTTGCCATGGGAACATGTTGGTGTTCTGAAGTGGCAGCAACTGGAAGCTTGCTGTCATTTTCACAAACAGAATGAAGGTGTTCTGCAAAGTGGGCACCCAACCTGCATTTTGTCTCCCTAACATAGTGGAGATTACATTGTAAACAAATAGGAACAGGATATGATGCTCAACTCATTGGTTGCCAGTTCCAATGTGCCACAGCGAAAAATTTCACGGCCTCCTCAAAAGACAGACGTGGGATACATCTGATAGGGTACCCGTCGTCATCCAGTACTTCCCAGGAGCGGAGAAACTACTCCATGTTCTTCGCAGCCTTTAACACATTAGTGATGATGATGAGCATCTTGCCAAGATCTTCCCTACAGCTCCACTTCTCACCTTCAAACAGCCGCCAAACCTTAAACAGAGCATTGTTTGCAGCAAACTACCCAGCCTTCAGGACAAAATCAATCGCAACACTATACAACCCTGTCATGGCAACCTCTGCAAGACATGTCAGATCCTCAACATGGACAGTACCATCACACGTGGGAACACCACCCACCACATACACGGCAGATACTCATGTGACTCGGCCAATGTTGTCTATCTCATACGCTGCAGGCAAGGATGCCCCGAGGCGTGGTATATTGGTGAAACCGTGCAGACGCTACGACAACGGATGAATGGATAATGCACAACAATTGCCAGACAGGAAATGTTCCCTCCCAGTGGGGGAACACTTCAGTGGTCAAGGACATTCAGCCGCAGATCTTCAGGTACACCTCCTCCAAGGTGGACTTCGGGATACACAATAACGCAGAGTCACCAAGCAGAGGCTGATAGCCTCAACTAGGATCTGGTGTTCATGTTGCATTATAGGTGACCCCACCACTCTATACACTCTCACACACATGCACACATACACACACGCTCTCACACAGATCCTCTGTCATACATACACTGTCTCTCAAGTGCACGCACATACACACACAAATATACACCATAGATTCGTGTGTGTGTATTTGCAGATACATTCTATTTTGTTCAAAAAGCACACAATTTGTAGACAGTCAGTCAATGTGGTATTTTATAAATTCCTACTTTAGAAATAAAACCAGTCTGACTCCAAACCAAAACATAGAGTCTAAACAAGGGCTCACTCCTGACATGCATTGTCTGACCTAAAATGTCACCTCTTCTTTACATTGATAATATCTTTAGTTGTCTTAGGACAGTAACTTGGAAGAAATTTGGGGATTTACATATACATATTAAGCAATTAAAACCTTCCAACTGATTAAAGATTTCACAGCATCTTAGCTTTGTCTAATACATCCTCATCTTTTACTTATCAATTCTGTGTCTGATACTACCTCTCTAACTAAGACCTGAAGGACTGAGGCTCCAAAAGCTTGCGTTTTCAAATAAACCTGTTGGACTATAACCTGGCGTTGTGTGATTTCTGACCTTGTCCACCCCAGTCCAACACCACACCTCCACATCACAGCAAAGACATAGACTGAACTGAAGTGCAGGTAAGTTGCTGCTTCATCTTGAAGTAATGTCGAAGGCCTTGGGTAGGGAGGCGGTAAACACACTAGTGTACCTTCTGAAATTTCATGATAAGCTGTCATGGGAGTATATGAGGTGCTGGGAGAGGAGGAGTGGACCAGGGGGTCCCTAAGGGAAAGGTCCCCGCAGAATGCGAACAAGGGAGGGCAGGGGAATATGGGGTCTGGTGCTGGCATCCTGCTGGATGTGGTAGAAATGGCAGCTTATGATCCATTGGATATGGAGGCTGGTGGGGTGGAAAGTGGGGTCAAGGGAGCGACCCTATCGCTTTTGTAGGAGGGAAGGGAAAGGGTGAGGGCAGTAGTATGAGGAATGGGTTGGACATGGCTGACGGCCCTATGACTCTTGGTTGAGGAAAAAGGTGGACATTTCTGAAGCCCCCCCACCCCCCGCAACTGTGGAAGTTGGCATCATCAGAACACATGCAATGGAGATGGAGAAACTGGGAGAATTGAATGGAGTCCTTACAGGAAGCAGGGTGGGAGGATGAATAGTCCAGGTAACTGTGGGAGTTGGTGCATTTGTAGTGAATATTATTGGCCAGGCTATCCCTGGAAATGGAAACAGATCTCAGGGAAGGAAAGGGAGGAGTCAGAGATAACCAGGTAAAGGTGAGAGATGGATGGAAATTAGAAGTGAATTTGATAAATGTTTCCATTTGCCTGAAATATCTTTCCTTGTCACATGAGTGATTTCATAGCTTAGTGAATTGCTTTGGTGTACCATTCTCGGAGTTTAAGTCAGGTGCTGTTTGACCTCCAGATAGCCAGCAGGACTCCAAGCTGAGTTAGCAGCCTGTCTGTGGACTTCCATCTCTGACTTCAAGTTGCTTACTGGAAAGAAGCCCAAGGAAAATAAACTGGACCCAGTTTACCACAGATAGAAATCCACACCACAGGAAGAGGCTCTTCAGCCCAATAAATCTCCACCAGTCAAAAACAGCCAAGAAAAGATACTTATCCCATTTCCAACATATGGTCCATAACCTTGTATGCCTTGGTATTGCAAGTGTACACCAAATTACTTTTTAAATGTAATGGGGGTTTCTGCCTTATCACCATGACAGGCAGTGAGTTCCAAATTCTCACCACCTTCTGGGTGAAAATTCTTTTCCTCACTCCCCTCTAAACCACCTGCTCCTTATCTTAAACTCTGCCCCACACATTGATCTCTCCATCAAGGGGAAAAGTTTCTTCCTGTGTACCTAATCCATTTTATACATCTCAGTCATGGTCGACCTCAGTCTATCTAGTCTCTCCTCATAACTGAAATTCTTCAGCTCCAGCAACATCCTGGTAAATCTCCTCCACAATCTCTCCAGTGCAATCACATTCCTCCTATAATGTCGATTCCGAACTGCATACAATAATCTAACCAACATTTTATACAGTCTCAGCATCAACTCCCTGCCCTTGAATTTTATTAACCTGCTTATCTAACTGTCCAGCTACATTAATAGACGAGTGTACTTGCGCACCAAGGTCCCTCTGATCCTCAGTGCTTCCCGGGTTTAATCATATATTTCCTTGTCTTGTTTGTCCTGCATCACCTCACACTTATCTGGAAACTATTACTGGATACTGACCTCCAAGAAGTTGTAACTCCAATGAATTGATTTTTAATATTTTTGGATTTACCAAAGTTTATACTTTATAATCCGTCGCCTTCTTGTGTTCCTTAATTTCCCAAGGGCTTGTGGGTACAAATGGAATAGCAAAGTAATATTCCTGTGTTTGCATGCTTTGTTAATAAACCCTATCTTTGAATTCAACTTAATAGTTTTCACTAATCAAAAAAAAGAACTGCAGATGTTGGAAATCAGAAACAAAAATAGAAAAAGCTGAAGAAACTCAGCAGGGCTAGCAGTATCTGTGGAGAGAAAGCAGTGTTAATGTTTAGGGTCCAGTAACCGTTTTTCAGAACAGAAAAGAGCCGCTGGACCCAAAATGTTAACTCTGCTTTCGCTCCACAGTTGCTGCCTGATCTGCTGAGTTTTTTCAGCTATTTCTGTGATGATTTTCGCTTTCGGTTCATATCCAAAATTGGATTCTGAAAACTGGAACACCCTTTGGCCTATCTCTGTAAGGGATGGGAGTGAAAAGGCATAAGTGAGTTCTGAAAAAGAGTATACAGGACTCAAAATGTTCACTCTGTTTTTCTCTCCATAGATGCTGTCAGATCTGCTGAATTTCTCTAGCATTCTCTGTTTGTTTAAATCAAACAGTGCTTTGCTGTTTCTGTGGTAATGGGAGAAAAGCAACCACAGTTAAAGTCATCATCATTCTCCCTTTGTCTCCGACATGAGTGACTGTGCTTTTAAGAGTTCTTCATATTCTCTGAAGCACATTTTGTACATCTTCGTTTCATGGAACATGCCATAAAAATGCAAGTTCTTTCTTATAACAATTACACCAATTTTCACAGAAAAATTCTCACCTCCTTGGGGAAAAAACTGTGCGTAAATCTCTTTGAATGTCTCTTCATTAACTATGCCACTGGGACATTCCTATGGATAAGCAGAAAACAAACAAAATGAATAAATCCTTTGTATTGAAAGCAACTATATTTATATTACCTGTACATTAACTTCACAGCCACAATAAATTATGTACTATTTATGTCAATAAAATAATATGAGGGATTATAAACAATTTGGTGCTGTGATTTTTAAAACTTCGATTTTAATTCTACAGTCTGACATTAGGATTAGGCATCTACTTAAATATTCATTTGGTTCCTGGTGCAATGGTGCATTGTGCTCCTCTTCAAATTAATAGCAACAAATAGATACTGGTTCGACAAATTGTGAAATTAACCACCATGGCTGCGAGCAAGTCAAATATTTTCAGTAAGGCTAAAACATATTGTGCAAACAAATTGCAATTATCCAACGAGTTCAAACAAATGAGACCTCTATTATGTCAGGCACAATTTCTGCTTCAGGACTTTAAGTGGCATTTTGAGACAATGTGCAAATATCTTGGAGGAACTGCGCTGGGTTGCCTCCAGGAATATTATACATGAACCAAAAATTTGTGTTGATAATTAGACTTTAGATAATCAATTATTAACCACAGTAGATGTTTAGACACTAGGCAGTTTAATTATTCTAACATCAAAGCAGAAGGTGATTAGAAATTGTGAAAACCTCTAGAACAAACAAATTGAAGAACACCACTTCTAACTTGTGGCACACTGCTATGTTTAAAAACAATATTGTTTGTATTTCTCATGATGTCACAACAGTCAATTTCTAATGAAAGGTCATTGACCTGAAATGTTTTGCTTTCCTGTAAACAGATGCTGCTGATCTCTTGATTATTTCCAGCATTTTCTGTTTTTTTTAAATTTCATATATCCATCATCTACAATATTTTGCTTTGGAATCAATTTGAGATAGCTTTATTTTGATGATGTTTTACATCAGCACTAGAGAAAAAATAAAGTAATTATGTGGAAGTGAATTTCACAGATTTTTTTATATTTTCTGCTTCTAAGGTGTTTTGAAATGGTACAGAGTTTTTGGGTAAAACAAACACAAACTAGGTGGATGTCTTTGTGAAGCCCTCCATTATGATTACATTCTCACCTTTCTATGCTAGTGGCAGTGTTCCAGTGAAGCCAAATGCAAGCTGGAGGAATAGCACATCATCTTTCAGTTAGCTCCTTTACAGCCTTGTAGACTTCAGGTTGAGTTCAACAACTTCAGATCTTCAACTCTATCCTTCATTTTGATCGTAATTATTTCCAAGTGTAAACCTGTATCTTCTTTTCACACTTTTGATTTCAGACAGAATTGTTCAATATATTATTATTCACACTCTCTCTGGACCAATGCTTTGTAACCTTACTACTGCCATTTCCAATTGTTTTGCCTTTTCTTCCATGTCATCATCCTGCTCCATACCCACTCCCTTTCTACTCTCCACCGCCCCCGCTTCAATAACATGACACCCATCACAATTCTACCTTCCCTCAGTTCTGAAGAAGAATTGCATTCAACTCAAAACATTTATTCTTCTTTTTTACCACATGTACTGATGGACCTACAGAGTATTTCCAGTATTTCCTCATGGTCATGACAATGGATAAGAACCCTGATGTACGACAGTCATTTTTAATAAATTCTCAAATTTGTTTTCTAAAATGAGGACTGCTACAGACAAAAGAAAAGAGACTGCAGATATAAGTTCAACGCTGTATGAGAAAGACCTGTATGGGACCCATGGAATGTGATACTTGCAAAGTGTCAGGAAATTTTAAAAAACAGAAAGAGAGATATTTATAGAGTCATAGAGTCCTACAGCACAGAAACAGACCCTTCGGTCCAACCAGTCCATGCTGAACATAATCCCAAACTAAACTAGCTCCACCTGCCTGCACCGGGCCCATTACCCTCCAAACCTTTCCTATTCATGTACTTATCCAAATGTCTTTTAAATATTGTAACTGTGCCTGCATCCACCATTTCCTCAGGAAGTTCATTTCACATGCGAACCACTGTCTGTGTAAAAAAATTGCTCTTCATGTCTTTTTTAAATCTCTCTCCTCTCACCTTAAAAACATGCCCTCTAGCCTTGACCTCCCCCATCCTAGGGAAAAGACACCTACCATTAGCCCTACCTATACCTCTCATGATTTTATAAATCTCAATAAGGTCACCTCTCAACCTCTTACGCTCCAGTAAATAAAAAAGAACCAGCCTATCCAGCCTTTCTTTATAATTCAAACCTTCCATCCTGGTAATCTCTTCTGAATCCTCTCCAGCTCAATAATATTCTTCCGATAACAGGGCAACCAGAACTGGACACAGTATTCCAGAAGAGGCCTCACCAGCATCCTGTACAACCTCAACATGACTTCCCAACTCCTATACTCAAAGGACTGAGCAATGAAGGCCAGCATGCTCAATGCCTTCTTAACTACCCTGTCTATATGTCTATACTTGACAGGAAGAGATGAATGAAAGGGCTGATGATATTCCAGCTCACAGTAGAAACTGACCTCTCCCAGATATTTTGCGCTCTGCACTTACAGGAATTTACAAAAAGGGGTTAAAAAAATGCAATGCAACCCTGGTCTCTGTGTGCTGGTGAACTGAGCTTTAAATGGAATAGCCTGAATTTTGAGCACGAGTGTGCTATGAGGGTCACAGTTGAGGAACCAACCCAATTGTCACCCCTAAACAGAAGGTAAAAAGGGCCTCTTACCAATGTTATACCTGAGAGAAGAAAGAGTACAAGAAAGAAAGAGTGCATGTGCACTGCATTATTAATTATATTTGTATTTGGTAACTAATGCACTTACTCATTTGTTAACTCATCAAAGCTTGATTAAATTTGCTCCTTTAAAAAAAATTCATTTTCTCTGGAAGAAAGACTTCTATAGGGGAGGGACTTTTTTATGTTAATCTTGACAATGACCAATCAATGTGGGGGTGTCAGGTGTATAAAGCTGTGAGGAAGATGCAAACATGCCGCAAAATTATTTAGGCAGGTGAAACAAATGGGCACGAATATGGTGGCTCAGTGGTTAGCATTGCTGCCTGACAGCACCAGGGACCTGGGTTCGATTCCACCTTCAGGCAACTGTCTGTATGGAGTCTGCACGTTCTCCCCGTCTCTGTGTGGGTTTCCGCCAGATGTACTGGTTTCGTCCTACGGTCCATAGATAAGCAAATTAGGTGGATTGGCCATGCTAAATTACTCATCGTGTAGAGGGATGCATAGCTTAGGTGCATTAGCCATGAGAAATGCAGAGTGTTAGGGTAGGGTTGGGTCTGGGTGGGATGTGCTTTGGAGGTTAGGTGTGGACTTGTTGGGCTGAATGGCCTGTTTCCATGCTGGAGGAATTCGACTTGACAAATACAATACCATGTGAAAAATGAGAGAGATGCAGAACTACTGGTAATCAGACAAAGCTGAGCATTTTTTTAAACAAAAGAAAGCAAGTTAGCATGCAGGAACAGCAAACAATTAGGAAACCAACTGGATGTTAGCCTTTCTAAAACCAGAAGAGCAAAGGAAATTATATGAGTATTATCTGGCAAGTGGAACCTGTCTGCCATAAAACAAGATCACATTTGATCAAATTGCAGCCTTAAGTCGACTTTACTGACTGCTGCCATTATCCTTGACTACCTCGTAGATTAAGATGATATTTTCAATAGGCAGCAGTGAGATGCCTATTAAGTGAGATTTTGCTTATTGTCAGGCTAAGTAACTGCATATCTCAATAAAAACCAAAAGAACTGCGGATGCTGTAAATCAGGAACAAAAACAAAGTTGCTGGAAAAGCTCAGCAGGTCTGGCAGCATCTATGA